TATATCTAAACCTAAATTGCTGGAAATTAGCTTTATTGCATAAAATGAGGTTCATTTTCATACCCACAGGGAAGCAACAGCTGTAATCTGGAAGGTAAGAGATAAAATACATTGTATAGTTTGTTTCTTAAAATGAGCACCGGCGAGTTGATGCATTGTGATTACAGTGGAGGAGGCTTCTATTTTCATCTGCACAGATTTAACTGCTTTTAAGAAGTACAAGTAATTAACACAAGTTTGTTTGTAAGACGGGAGGAAATGATCTGTTACATTGCTGTTCCATACAATGTCAGACAACAAGTAAAAGCAGATGCTCAGCCAGAGCACAGAAATGATAATTTCTACTATGAAAGACAACACCAAACGAACACATCGCTCTATTTACGCTATAATCACTGTGCATAAAACTTGGCTTTTTGGATGGCGGAGGAACTAATGAGAGAAGACGTAGAGCCTGAAACACAAAATCACCTGTCAACTAGACCAGCAAGTGGTAATTACAAGTAACCATGAAAGAAAGACCAATATGTCATAAGATTTTACAGTTTTCTATTGAAATGCAGATTGCCATGCAGGGCAAACCTACAGGTTCAATTACTTGCAGCATAAACAGTTGCAAAGCCTGTTCTTATTAGACTCTCTTTATCCGCACAGTGTGTTTCTTTATGATGTGACTGGATATACTGTGTTGAGGCCCATTCACAGCAATTGTGCTATATTCACACATTATATCAAATAGTGAGCTATGATTCATTGCAAATGGCACCCCAACGCACCTTCACAGTGCACACGTGCTGCAACGCACTACAGTGAAGCATATTGCATTGTGCTCTTGGCTGCACCGTGAAAAAATGCACACTGAATCTTTTTTTTTCTTTTCACAAAGGCGAGTTGTAGCACATTTATTCCGTCGGTTCACTTACTTTGCAGTGAATGGAGTGGTGAGCAGGAGCAATGAAAGCATAATCAGAGGGTAGGAACTGGTAGGCATTTAAGTCACTTTATATTAAACCTCTCACATGAAAATGGAAGCTTTGTTTTCTAAAAGCACCTCCATCTCTCAAAGTCCTAATGTCTACAAATGCCTAAGAAAAATAAAGCCGTTGTTTCCGGCTCTTCTTGAAGGCATGCACGACAAGACCAAGCTTCAATGATGCCTTCAGGGAAAGCTGGGCGCTCAAAATTCCAGGAGGGTGCACTGCAGCACTTTGCATTCTCCCAGGATTTTTTTGAGTATCCAAATTTCATATGGATATCTAAAATGTTTATCTATTGACAGAAGTAGGCTGGCCATACATCATTAAAATTCTGGCTGATTAACAGGAATGAATGCATCAGTGGTGTAGTGGTTAGCGCTTCTGCCTTGCAGCACTAGGGGGTTCCTGGTTCTTACCACACTCCAAAAACATGCTGGTGGGTTAATTGGCTACTGTCTAAATTAGCCCTGTATGTATGCAAGTGAGATAGGGACCTTAGATTGTAAGCTCCTTGAGGGCAGGGACTGATGTGAATGTGCACTATGTAAATTGTCGGCGCTATAGGCATACCTGTAATAAATAAATAAAAAAATAGCACAAAAATTAACACTGGAACACAGCTCTCTATCTCTCTCATACTTCCCCCCATCAGCCCTCCCTGCCATAAGAATGGTGAAGCACCATATCTTGGAAATAAGAACTGTCTGTGCTGTGCCACGCTAAACAGATTTAAACATGCATTCTCCAAATGTCAATTCCGTGGGCGTGTTTGTCATTTTGACAAAATTAGCCCCAAGATATTCTGTAAAATAAACCTCACACAAGAAGTTCACAAGTAAGCAACATCCATTTACAACACTGAAACTGAATAATGGAAACTAGAAGAAAAGAAAAGAGCAGGCGTTACCCATGGTAATAATCCAGATTTTGGGTTCCTTTTTTCTAACCTGTCCTGAAAAGAAGATAATTGCAGGTGGCGGTCACATTGGGCTAACAGTAACCTGAAGCAGACTGGCAACTTGTCAAGAATAAAGCAGTTAACGCACAGGCTTGTTAGGCCTCAATCTGTGATTTTTTAAAGAGAACCAGTTCACATTTCAATTTAAATGAAATTACATTTCATACATACATTTTTTTTTTCTCATATCTCTATAGGTTGAACTAGATGGGCATGTGTCTTTTTACAACCTGACTAACTATGTAACTATGTACTGAACCCCTCAAAAAAAATAAGAATTACAGTAGTAAATATGAATAATGACTGCCCCCGTGCCACTCTTGTGGTAATCTGACAATGTGCTGCCTCATGTAACGTTAGGTGGTCCCATTGCCTGATATGAGTAAGGCAGAAGCAAAAAAGGGGAATTTATCAAATCAGACAACAATCTAAAGCAGTTGCCTATAGTAACTAACCAGCTTTTCTCTTCAGTTTGCTCAGTTAAAACATTGCAAATGAAAGCTAGAAGCTGATTGGTTGTCATGCACAGCTCCTCCAGATTTTGTCTGCTCCAGCTTTGATCAATTCCCCTCAAGGAGTTCTTTCAAAGTACTTCATGTAACAGGTCATGCTAAGCAAAGGAACAAGGCAGGGAGGCAACCCTTGGAAGCGAGTAAGGTAAGATGGCATCACACGGCGGAGCAGCACCACATCATCTCATAAAATGGGGTAATTATTTATATTACCAGTATAATTTATTTCTGACAAACAATTTTATTTCATATAAAGGTCACCAGTGACAAGGTGTCTGGAATTAAATTCCGCTTTTACACAGTGAGGTTTGGCCTCTTTTACTGAACTGAGATGAGTGCATAAAAAACAATGCTAATTTAAGGTTTGTAAATTTGGGTCACAGCCACAAAAGCAAAGCAGAATGTTTGGAATATCAGGGATGCTTTTCAGTCCCGCTTTGTCCCTGACCTGAGACCTGACCCACTTTATAGGTAACAGGCAGGTAAGCACAGAGGAGGGAAATCGCATTTATTTGTTAACCAAGTGATCACTCCATTCAAAAGTCATGTTTTCATTTTGTTGGTGATGCTGGAGAGTTTAATCAGCCGCCAGCTTCTTTTATGTCTCCGGGACACCACTGACGAGCTCCATGCGCTTCACTTCCCAGGTCTCTTGGACTGCTGAAGCAATTACTAAAAGGTCCAACTCTCTGTCAGATTTTAACTTTTTGTTTCTGGGGAATGCAGCAGGAGGAATGGAGATGCTTCTATATATCAGCATCTACCAAAATGTGAAAACATGACTTTTGGATGGAATCATCCTGTAAAACAGAACTCCCGGCATTTACACTATGTATCCATTTAATTACCATTTCTTTCTGCCAGTGCGCCTGCGCAGACTTCAGCTGGCGCATGCACAATGTGAAGATCAACGTCCTGCATCACAAAAACGTAGCCCCTACCAGCTCGATGTGAAAGGAGGGGCAACTGGGTGATGCTGGAGGAACCGTATATAAACTGCACACCTAGCACATCCATGAACCATGATGTGTATATTTGCTATACAGCCTATATATAGGGTCATTTTCAATCCAAAAACTCTTTCCAGCCCCCTTGTGCTATGCCCCCCTCTGTTTGGGATTTTGTTGTCATTGTAACTATATTTGTGGAGGACTTATTGTGAGTTTTGTAGCTATGCCACACATTTTTTGGCATTCGACATATTACCCTTTGGCTGTTTAGATAACTTGTACCATCTACCTATAGTTTTGGGTTTATATTTAATTGTCTATCCACCGCTTCTTGATTTGCAACATGGCGCATGGTTTTGTTAACTGCCTCCCCCACGGCCCCTAGGTGGAGCTATTCTCCGAAGGTCCGGTTCAAGGTATTTGAATAGGTGATTTAAAGCCTGTAAGATTTTGTTCTGATTTCTTATAAGTTAATTGTAATTGTTCACATTTGAGGACAATTGTTATATGTGTATTTACATATATGTTTTACCCTTAATACAGCGAATAATGTCAAATCCTCCTGAGGAAGCCTTTTATGGGCGAAACATGTGGAGGAAAATGCTACTTAGCTGTTGGACCATGAAAACCCACAATACACATGGACTGTTTGACCAATGAATGGAAATTGTTCGTTTTTATATTCCCTTTTTAATGCTTTTGTATAAAAATAAAAAAATGTTTTTAACTATTCAAAATGTGTTTGTGAAGGTCTATAAATAGGCGAGAATAGCCCCCCTTTTAGTTTGCTATAACCAAACATGGTTAAAAAAATTAGCTTTGTTGGTTGTAATTAACATGCAATGTATTTCTAAATACTAATATCATAATTATCTAAAATCTATCTGGTTTCCAAATCCCCTGCAAACAAGAAATCAGACTGGTGGCAAAAATGCCAGCACCGACTTGGCCAGGCTCTACTGTGCTCTGCAAAATGCCATAATCCTAACATTTTAGACACTGTAGTCTAAAGATAAAATATTTAGGCAGCTTACAGGAAAAAGAGAGCACCATTCTGTTGATGCTCATTCATAGTCCAACAGAGAGACAGCGCGGTGCAGAACTGTGGGCTTAGAATAGCGGTGTCAGTCTTTGGCTATATAGCACAGCACGTAGAATCACAAGAGAGGCTGAACAGAATCACAAACATGTTGCCAAAAAAAAAACAACTCACATACACGTACTTCAAATGTGTATTTATGTCTTTGTCTGGAGTTCTGCTTTAAATGCAATTACAATGGTAACCTTGACTTGAAATTTGTAAAGCCATTAAGGCAGGAGTAGGCCACCTTGGCACTCCACCTGTTTTGGAACTACAAGTCCCATGAGGCACTACAAGCTGCTGGCAGCCACAGGTATGACTCCTGAGGCAGTGACATGATGGCATTTGTAGGTTTATCACAGCTTGAGTGCCTAGGTTGCCTACGCCTGCAATAAGGTACTTATCCTAATACTATATACTGTATACACATATATGAATATAGTACATGCACTCTATATTTAATGACATACCTCAAAAAAACAAACACATTAAGAAGTTTAGCAAGTTATATTTAGACCTTACCCAGCTTCAAGGCACCTTCTGGGGGATATTCTGGAAACTGCCCCTCTGAGGGGACACTCACTGTCCTGCGGAGGCTCCGACTTTTGCTGCTTTCCGTTGGTGGGTCCTGCACGGTCTCGCCTGACATCTAAAAGAAGACAAGGAAAAGGGGCTTAAGATGACTACGTACACTAACGATCGCTGCTAATCTCCCTGCAGTTAAGACAGATAAGTCAGTCCCCCTCTTGATCTCTTTATCCTGTGTGTAAATGCCAGCCTGGATGAAGTACCAATATGGTTTGTCTTTTATAACTCGTGCACTCCCTCTAGAGGCCATCTGATGGCAGTGATTATAGACACATGTAGTATCACTGTTTATGGTACCTTGCTAGACAAGTTTGTGTAGAGAACACAGACAGGTGAATGGAAGAAGAGCGGAAGTTCTTTTCCACATTCCACAGCAGCAGTCTGTGACCCTACCCAAAGCCTGTGTAAACTATACCCTATTAAATGTGTCAGGCTGTCAGCAGAAGGTATTTGCCATTTACTGTAATGGTAGAATAACAGCTTGATCATATCAGATCGGGTTTTATCCATTCACTACACTGGTAAAAGAGGCCTTTGTTTAACTTCACAGCAGGAAGCATCGAAACAATGCAGATAAACACATCCTAATTACAGGTGGGGTGGCTGCTACCATGAGCTAGGAGTAGTTACTGAAAATGTTTTGAATGGCCACAACCTGATTAAACGTTACAAAAATATAAATATTATGTTGTTTTTTTTTATTTTTTATTATTTGCTATGGAAAACATCACTGCTGAGGCACAGCCCAACTATGCCCGACTTTTCTGTGTTCTGTTCCATCACCTGGCACCCAATACATTAAGGGCCCGTTCATGCCAGATGTCTATTCCCAATGCACAGACAAGGCAATCTGCCTTGTTAACTATTAAGTCAGTTCACATCATTGTGTTGTGGTGGTGTGTGTTGAAAAGAAGAACCACATACAGTACTTTTTCCAAGTTCTAATAATAAAGAAATACATAAAAATAATATAGAGTGATGCACTGAAGTCAGCACATTGCACCACTTCCCTGACAGCGCACACCAGTGGCATTGTGGTACTGCACACTTCTGGTGTGAATGGCCCCTGAGGTTTAAACCTTCCCACCCTTGCTCTATCCCTTATGAACCATGTCAGCACCTGGTGTGGTCACTCCAAATATCAGCATAATCTGTAATCATTTAATATGTTCGGGACTTAGAAATAAAATCTCAGAAAACATTTTAGGAAGGTAGAAATAAATAATTTAGCATATGAATATTTTATATTTACAGCCAGAAGGTGGAGCCCCAGGCTCTCAGACTCCTGTGTCACTGGTGCACCTTGCATGAAAAGTTCTATTTGTAAAAAACGGATTTCTGTACTCACCGTAAAATCTTTTCCTTCTAGCTCATTGAGGAACACAGCTTTAGGTTATACTGCTGCCTACAGGAGGATTTGGACATTGGCAAACAAAAAAAACCATGACCAGCCTAATATAACCCCTCTCACTTCCATCCCCACTGCAAGGGTTAAGTGCTCGTTAAAGAAGTACATTTTTACGGGGAAGCTGCACTGCAAGGGTTAACTGCTCATTTTTGTCTAGGTTAAAAAAAAGTTATACTCGCCCGATGCTCCGAGCTAGCTTGTTATTAGACCGGTCCTTCCAACTTCTCTACCCCTCCTCTGCAGCGTTCTAAGGCTCCCTAAATCATCAAGTTCTTTACACTGTGTATAGACATGAGGACACCGAGAAAAAAATAAATACTGCAGCATAGGAGTAGACAGGCTTGAGGGAGTGCTCGGACAGCTGGCTGGCTTGGAGCTTCAAGTGAGTATATCTTTGTTATTTTTGAACCTAGACCAAAACAAGCACTAAACCCTTGCAGCGCGGGGGTAGCCCTATTGCAAGAGTTAAGAAAAAGTTTTCCTGGAGTTCTTCTTTAAATCTAGAGGGTCCCTCAGTCTCGTCATGCACAATGCATTGTAACCAGAACATTTTTCTAGGGGACCCAGCTTTATTTTATTATTTTTCACAGTTTGATATGTATGGTAGTCTGCAATACAGATTTATTTTGGGAATAGGCAGGCGCCATCTATTGGCAGCTATCAGAACTGCAGTCAAAGAGGAAATGCCATTTCCACCATGTACCATCTAGTAGCAATTAGCGTAACTGCAGTTAATTTTTTTTTTTTTTTATAACCATAGATTTTTTCAGCCTTGGGTTAAGCTGACAGCCCAACACCACCTTGGTATGGAAGGAGGGCTTAACACCATCTGTCCTTGTGCAAGATGAACCTATTTTCATTTTGCACAAGACTGCCAGTTCAGACACATGGCTAGTAAAAATAAAACTTTCTCAATAAAGAAAAGATGCCCATCCTCCTAGGGCACTAGGCAAAAACTGTGGTATGCTGGGAGTGGTTATACTAGGCTAGTTACTGTTTGTTTTTCTTTTTTTTTCCAGCGTTCAAATCCTCCTGTAGGCAGCCGTATACCCCAAATGTTGCTGAATCCAGTGTCCCTTACTAAACAAAAAAATATATTTTACATAAAAAGTTAAAAAAATAAAGACTTATATAAACTTAAAGAAATTAAACACATTTAGCCCAAATCATTTTAGCATTCCTTAAAGTCAAATTAGCTTAAGACGAACGCCAGCCCTACCTTCAGTTTTGCAGTGGCACAGGCTCCCCTCCTAAGATAGAGCCTGCCTAATTTCTGGGCTGGAGGATGCCCTTATCTAGCCCTTTTTAATGCTTTCATTGCAGACTTGGCTTGTGACCTAATTCAATGAGCTGGAACAAGCATTGGTCAGTGAAGTCAGAAGTGTCTAAAGGCCCATCTAGTATGCTCATTTCAGGTCAGTGACTTACTTCAAGGTCAAGATGGCAACCTCAAAATCCACAAATTTTTTCAACAGCAAGTGAGCAATGGTAGCACCTATGTTTCTATCCTTACAGGTGGACTAAATGGTCTATTGATTTCTAGATTAAAATGGCTAACTCCTGATTTCTACATTCATTTTTCCACTCTTAAGGCCCCTTTCACATGGGCTGATCAGGAGAGGGTCAGTCAACAGATCCTCTCCTGATCATACCAGTACGGAGCGGATGTCACGGCTGTGATATCAGTGTCCACACAGTTTTTTCCTCCATCTTGCAATGGAGGAAACAACTGAAAGTGCCGGACCCCATGTGTTTGTATAGGGAATCTGATGTAAAACGAACATGTGATCCAGACCATGGAAACAGATCAGTGATCCGTCTATTTAGCCGAAGCCAGGGCTAACCGGGTGTAAACAGACGCTCTTCCTTTTACACACGGCTGCCCATAGACTTGCATAGAGCGTCTGATCGGGTCCGGCTGAAAAACTGACAGGCGGACCCGATCAGACCACTCATGTGAAAGGGGCCTAAAAGTGTAAAACCAACATTTGACAACGCAAGACATACAGGCCTCCACCTTTGACAAATCTAAGAGGATGGATGGCACATCTGATGACATACCCACACCTGCAAACAACTGCTTTGCTGTACATATATTCTTCTGTGTGGGGTACCATGCAGAAGATGTAAAAATGACACAGTTATACTTTATGAAACCTCCGGAGGCATCAAAATGTATTTATTTAGACTGGTTTGCATGGTAGGTAATATTTAGGTCCATACAGAGAGAAAATACAGGAATTAAGTGCTCTAAACTATGGGAACGTGCCACGCATTAAATGACTCTGGCAGGCTTGATAATTGTGGAACTGTAGGCCTCACGCAGAGCAAAAGCTGCAGGATACAATCACAAACTTAAAAAATCCACAAGAATCTCCAGTGTGTAGATTTCAGCCCACACAAGCTGCTTCATTTCTATAAATATCAACCCTATAGGTTTGCTTTGTGAAAGTGTATGATTTGGGAAAATGTACTGCCCAGGAGCAGTTGAAATAGAACAGATAGATACATCTGCAGGCTTCCATTCAAATGGCAAACAATTATTCCTGTTTCTGAGGAGCAGCATGTAATAATTACACAGCAAGATAAAGGTACCCCTCTCACCATCGTTGGGCACAAACAGCAACAGGAAAACAAGTTTTTGGCCGCAAAACCAGATTTCTGTAGAGATCTCATCTGTGTGCGTGGTATCATTAACTTGCTGAGTAATCCATTCAGCAACTGTGGGAATGGCTGTGGTAAATCTGAGATGGATTGTATAGGCTAGGTTTAACTATGAATCCTGGACAGTGTGTACATCAAAGGACTGGTAGAAGATCTTTAATTACAATGTACTCCTCATGTAAGCACAATGGATGCAGCCATATTGTCACTTCAAGCAGTAAGAGTGTGGCCCATCAGTACTTCAATGGAATCATGGAGATACTGTATGGGATTAGGGAAGGAGAATGGACCATTTACAGTATTTACATCCATATTTTTTTCAAATTGCTAACCTTTTTCTTGAAAATATGTATATGGTTTATAAAGATTATATAAAAAGGAGCTGTATAAAACTCACACTACAGTACAATTCAGTTATGGAATGCCCAGGACCAGTCCTAGCTAGAAATACACTATAAGGCCTGGTTCACACCTGTACGTTTTGTAGCGCGTTCAAAGCTCTACGAACGCTCTACAAAATGCTCAAACATGAAAATCCCATTGTTTTCTATGGGTCTGGCTCACACCTTGCCGTATTTCAGCCCGTCTGAACGCGCTACAAAATGGCCTACGCCTGAAAAGGTACATGAGCTTCTTTGTGGCGTTTTTGTCGCGCGTTTCCAGAATCGTGGTAAAAACACGCGACAAACGCGCATATTCGATACGCCTAGGTGTGAACAGAGCCTTAAAGCAGTAACGTTTCATAAATAACACAAATTGCTTTTCTGACACAAATGAAAATGTTTTTGACTTCACATGCAAGAAAAACATGTAAAGGGTGTTAATAAGACACATTTGGGGAAATAATGGTGTTCCAGCTTTGAGTAATCTCCCCATTCATATCTAATGGCTTATTGATAACGGAAAATAAATGTAGCTCACCAAATGAATGACACCCCTGTCTGATGACAGCTGGAACATTTTAAAGGGTAAGAATTCTAAATACATTTCTCAATATGGACATATTCATTTCATCTCCTAAGTCAAATTTAATACAAGGTGATTTTATTCTATGCCATGTTCAAACCCTGCTGAGATTTTAAATGAGAAAGCCCAGCACCAGCATGACACTTACTGGTTGCTCCTGAAGATCCAGATGTGTGTGTGACTGTATATACATGTTTACATACAGGTGAAACTCGAATAATTAGAATATTGTGCAAAAGTAATTGCAGTAAGTGCTGCAAAAGGGGCCCAAACCAAGTACTGAGTACATATGCATGCTTGTACTTTTCAGAGGTCCGATATTGTTCTATGTACAATCCTTGTTTTATTGATTGCATGTAATAATCTACTTTTTTGAGGTTGTGGATTTGGGGTTCTTGGGGTTTTCATGAGCTGTAAGCCATAATCATCACGATTATGACAAATCACGGCTTGAATTATCTTGCTTTGCATGTAATGAGTCTATCTCATATATTAGTTTCACCTTTTAAGTTGCATTAGTGAAATAAATGAACTTTGCACGATATTCTAATTATTCGAGTTTCACCTGTATATACACACACAGTATTATCCCCCCAGGTTTTCTTTATATATTTGATTGAATTCCCCTCCACCACCTCCTTTGAGGCTTCATTGAGTAAATCTCTTCAGAAAGGTATCCCTGTTCCCATTTTTCTAATACAACAGTCGTATCACTCAATCTGCACTGCAATCTGCAAATGTTCCTATAGGGAATTTGTCAAAGGGGTAGGTAACATCACTTCTTAACATAAATGTAAAGTCAGGCAGCTACGTATAGCAGCAAGCTTCCAAATCACACGGCATGCACAGAGAATAGCTGCAGGTTATGAAAGATGAAGTCATCAAATGACCAGATTTTCCATTTCTTTCAGCCAAATGGCCATGTAGAGACACATTGAGCATGAAGTGGCCCAACCTGCCACGACAATAAATATGGTCACCATTAGTTCCTGTTGGTCCTCATCTACAATCTACTGAATACATGATGATTACGTTATGCTTTTTTTTAAGGTCGTACAAGAACAATGATAATGTACCAAGTGCAACAGCCCACAGCAACTAAACAGACTTCAGTCAATTAAGCCAATGTCATGGAAGATGGCCTCTGGCTGGTTCTTCTGGGTTGCTGCAACTTCAACAGAACAGTTTATCTTTGTACTACCTTACTAACCAAGCCCAAATGTGTCTCTAACAAATGTAATCCTTCCCTTTGCTGCCTTCTCTTCTATAGCAGAAAGCAAAGACCCAGGAGGAAATGAGAAAGTCAGCTTAAATCCAGTCCGAACAGTAGGAATTTACTCTGGTGTCAGATGCTGACAGAAAATAATAATGTACTGCACAGAGGTCACATTTCAGTGTCAGTAATGAGATCAGTGTGTATTGGAATGTATCACAGGGCATCAGGAGGTGACAATGTTTTCACTTTGGTTGGAAAACATATACAACCTCCCAGGACTATATAATGTCACACAGAGGCGTGAATCAATGAAGATCAAGCATCATCTAACCCCTGTATGTAGCACATTTAAAACGTGTATTTCTTCAGGTTAAAGGGCAGAGATGCTATTTAAAGACAGGACAGACTTGTTTACCAGAAGATAAAATTTATCATTTTTATTGTCACGTATAAAGAGTCAGTTCATCCAGAAAGTTTTTTCACTTATGGGGGATTCTACAGGGCTAAACACTGGCCACTGACTTTCAATATATCTTACAATCTCCAGCAGCTCTCCCAGCTAGGCCTCCATCCCCATTCCTGCTATGAAGTCTTTTTTTCTGCTGCTTTCCCCCTAATGTAATATAAATTAAATATTCCATATGGAGAAGTGAGGTCCCATCACAAAATTCATGGGAGGAAGTACAAATCTAGATTACCAGACAGATACAAAATGTAAAAAAAAAATGTAAATAAATCCTAACAATGAAGTTCTCTTTATTTTTCCCTTTTGGTTTGTTAAACATAACATTAATTGCATTATTATTATTACTTAGTATTTATATAGCGCCAACAGTTTGCGCAGCACTTTACAATATAAGGAAGACATAACAGTTACAATACAATTCAAGACAAGATGGTAAGGAGGGCCCTGCCCCTGAGGCAAGAGATGAGTCTTTAGGGAACGCCTAAAGGCAGTCAAGGTGGGAGATAGACGGACAGGTTGGGGTAAAGAGTTCCAGAGGATGGGAGAGACTCTAGAGAAGTCCTGGAGGCGAGTATGGGAGGAGTGGACAAGGGAGCTGGAAAGCAGGATGTCAATGGATGAGCGGAGGGGACGGTTAGGGTGATACTTTGAGACAAGGTCTGAGATATATCCGGGGGCGGAGTTGTGGATGGCTTTATAGGTGACTGTTAATATATTGAATTTTATCCTCTGGGCAAGTGGAAGCCAGTGGAGGGATTGGCAGAGGGGGGATGCAGACACTGAGCGGTTGGTTAGGTGAATGAGTCTGGCAGCTGCATTCATGATAGACTGAAGGGGGGATATTCTGTGTAGTGGAAGGCCAATGAGGAGGGAGTTACAATAGTCTAGACGAGAGATAACAAGGGAGTGTATGAGTAGTTTTGTGGTGTCATTGGTGAGGAAGGGGCGTATTTTTGAGATGTTACGAAGGTGAAGGCGGCAGGATTTGGATTGCAATTGGATGTGGGGAAGAAAGGTGAGGTCCGAGTCAAGGATGACACCTAGGACCTTGGCATAAGGGGAGGGTTGGATAGTTGTGTTATCAATCACAACTGAAATGTTGGGGAAAGGTGCACGGGGTGGAGGAAATATCATGAGCTCAGTTTTTGAAAGGTTGAGTTTTAAGAAATGTTGTGACATCCAGACAGATATGTCATTTAGTAGATTAGTGACACGCAAGGACACTGAAGGGGAGAGTTGTGGAGTGGAAAGATAAATTTGAGTGTCATCTGCATAGAGATGGTATTGTAAGCCATGTGAGGTTATTAGTTGACCAAGGGAGGAGGTGTAGATGGAGAAGAGGAGGGGTCCAAGGACAGAGCCTTGGGGATTGCATTAAACAAACATACAAAATGCTAACAAATACTGTTGATCCTGCAAGAAATCAAGTCATCTCATAATTGCCTGTGCTTTATGGTTATCATTTCTATGTAGTACAGAAACCCCCTCCATGGAGCTAAGGAGAGGTGGGTGTTTAGTAGCCCTAACATGCATACGGTCCTGAAATAAATCACATCTTTATAACATCAAAGACCTATAATAGGGATTTCATTTTTTAAAATTTTACAAAGCAATGATGGCTCCCCTATGCCTCACGCTAATAAGCAGTTATCAAAAGTGATAAATTAAAGTTATAGATCTGAACCCCCCTGCAGAGCAAACTGCCTTATTAAATCAGTTGCGTGGAAGCAATAATGTAACTGATGGCATGTAATGCACAAGTGAAGGAGTTCAGCGCTTGTATCGGCTGCCTTCTGTGTGCTGAGAGCACTTTCACATAATTAGGTTAGTACCGTGACATTAATGAGGTGTGAATAGATGTAATTACACTTTCCATCTGGGATGGGGGTTAAATCCAGCACTCCTGCCTACTTCCATGTGCTGGAGAAGAGACTGGAGTTTTGTGTTGTATTCTGGAGCATGTTGCTGCTACAGGAGTACAGATCACTGCGCATTGGCTCATGTATGGACTTGTCCTGGTCCTAGTCTCACCTCATCCTCCCGGTTGAGAAGCACCAGCTGGCTTTCAGTCAGGATGCAGTACTTCCTCTCCCATGTTGTGCATTCCGTATATGGTGACTGGCCACACGACAGCCTGTGAGTGGGGGGTCCTTTTACATCTACAAAACACAGGAGGCAGAGGAAAGAAGTCAGCAGGAGTGCAGTAAAACTCCACAAGCTTAGTGTACAGAGGAACAGACAGTTCAGTTTAAACTGCATGCACTGAAAACACATTCAATAGTATCATAGTTGCAAAAAGTCACTTATTTCAAGTTTTTACAAGTTTAGGAAAACTTACCCTTAAAAATCGAATGTATTCATTTACATATACATTGTGCTAATCACTGAAACCCTAGTTAAGATTTTATTTGTTTCACCATTGCCCAAGTGAATATGAATTAGATCATGTTTTAAAAAACTCCTGGAAATGTAAAAATGAACCCTTGCAGTGGGGCTACACCCCCGCATTGCAAGGGTTAACTGTCTGTTTTGGTCTAGGGCAGGGGTAGCAAACCTCCGGCCCTCCAGCTGTGGTGGAACTACAAATCCCATGAGGCATTGCAAGATTCTCAGTCACAGACATGACTCCCGAAGAGAGATGCATCATGGGATTTGTAGTTTCACCACAGCTGGGGGGCCGGAGGTTTGCTACCCTTGGTCTAGGGCAGTGGTGGCGAACCTTGGCACTCCTGCTGTGCCAAAACTACAAATCCCAACATGCATCTGCCTCTGGGAGTTATGTCTGTGGCTGTCAGAGCCTTGCAATGCCTCATGGGACTTGTAGTTACAAAACAGCTGGAGTGCCAAGGTTCGCCACCACTGGTCTAGGGGCTAAAACAAAGAAAATGTACTCAGCTGATCCTTGGTCCCACTTGGCTGCCAGACCGGTCCCCAGAGCCTCATTTACCCCAGCCTCCGGCAGTCTAAGGATCTGCAATGTCAACACATCTAATGTGAGGACGCTGAGGGACATTCCTCCTTCACCATGAAGGGGGAGAGAGTTGAGTGCCAACTGTTGCAGGATGTAGGATCAGGTGAAAATATTTTAGCCCCCAGACCAAAACGAGCAGTTAATCCTTAAGGTGCCCATACACCTTACGATTATCGGACAAAACTTTTTGTCCGATGATCGAATAGTCGTACGATTTTCGTACGGCAGCCCTATCCTGCCCCGATGATTGCAAGATTAATTTAGCCGTAATTAAGGAAAAGCACCTGGACGAAATGCAGTAATTGATCTGCCGTATTTTCGTTAGCGCAAGCGCAGTGTAGATCGCACGACTTTTGACGGACGGAAACGACAGCAACCTTACGAAAATCGTACGATCTAGCAAAGTTTTCAAACATGCTTGACCGTCAAAAGTTGTACGATTGTACAGTACTGTCGGTCGGACACTGCAATGCACACATACGATTATCGGCCGAAAAGTCGATCGCATACGAGAATCGTAAGGTGTATGGGCACCTTTACAGTGCAGGGATAGCCCCACTGCAAGGATTCGTTTTTACATTTGCCGAAGTCCTTCTTTAACATTTGCAGCTTGTGACTTGATAACAACAGTAGCAAGGCAATAGTCTTCCCCAGATACCTTTACACTTGTCTAGTGGAAAACACAGGAGGAGAGATGAGATTACAAAGAATGTAAAGTAATAGAGGGTACATACACCACTACAGACAGTACTATCTAGCTCAATCGTTTATACATGTGTTGCTGCTTGGGTCTCTCTAGTACCCTGTATTAAATATATGTTTGTAAAACAAATATATATATATATGTCATACAAATATTGAAATTCTAAATGTCCAAAAATTGGTAAATGTTCAAGAAATGAGAAAATAAAGCTTAGTGGGTTTGTGGCATGTCCGTACGATAACAACCGTACGGGCATTGCGGTCATCGGAAGCCCGCCCCTCAGGGGAAGTGGCTTGCGATCATCGCAAGTACGATCTGGCTATGCAAGATAGGCAGATTGCACGTTTTTTTAAGTACCTTACAACCATCGCAAGACAAAAGTCTTGCGATGGTTGTAAGGTGTGTGCCCAGCCTTAGAAATTACAGCTGACGCCTAACTTTTCAGGTTTTCTCTAGTTGTCAATGGAGCTGGCTCCTAAAACAAAATATTCTGCTGGCACTCTAATACTTTTGGTCATTAAGTTATACATTTTAAAGAGGTGAGTATGTCATAGAAAAAAAAAAAAGAGGTACAGCTAAGAAGTAAAGAGAGACAGGCGCATTTGGTTTTAAAAGAGCGACATCCCCCCCCAAACAAGGGATGGCTGGGAGCTATGTATGAGTTAGGAACTGTAGAAGGGTAATTGAATGGCATTGACTAGTTACAAATAAATAGTGCCATTGAACGTATAATTTCACTACTATGGATCTCTGCTAGCAGAGGGAAGGATAAGAACAAGACTCATTT